CTACACACCAGTCCAGAGGGGGCATTTCTACACACCAGTCCAGAGGGGTCATTTCTACACACCAGTCCAGAGTGGGCATTTCTACACACCAGTCCAGAGGGGGCATTTCTACACACCAGTCCAGAGTGGGCATTTCTACACACCAGTCCAGAGGGGGCATTTCTACACACCAGTCCAGAGGGGGCATTTCTACACACCGGTCCAGAGGGGGCATTTCTACACACCGGTCCAGAGGGGGCATTTCTACACACCAGTCCAGAGGGGGCATTTCTACACACCAGTCCAGAGGGGGCATTTCTACACACCAGTCTAGAGGGGGCATTTCTACACACCCAACCAGGGGGGGCATTTCTACACACCAGTCCAGAGGGGGCATTTCTACACACCAGTCCAGAGGGGGCATTTCTACACACCAGTCCAGAGGGGGCATTTCTACACACCCAACCAGGGGGGGCATTTCTACACACCGTCCAGGGGGGGCATTTCTACACACCCGACCAGAGGGGGCATTTCTACACACCCGTCCAGAGGGGGCATTTCTACACACCAGTCCAGAGGGGGCATTTCTACACACCGGTCCAGAGGGGGCATTTCTACACACCCAACCAGGGGGGGCATTTCTACACACCGTCCAGGGGGGGCATTTCTACACACCGTCCAGAGGGGGCATTTCTACACACCAGTCGAGAGGGGGCATTTCTACACACCCGACCAGAGGGGGCATTTCTACACACCCGTCCAGAGGGGGCATTTCTACACACCAGTCCAGAGGGGGCATTTCTACACACCAGTCCAGAGGGGGGATTTCTACACACCAGTCCAGAAGGGGCATTTCTACACACCCGACCAGAGGGGGCATTTCTACACACCCGACCAGAGGGGGCATTTCTACACACCAGTCCAGAGGGGGCATTTCTATACACCCGACCAGAGGGGGCATTTCTACACACCCGACCAGAGGGGGCATTTCTACACACCGTCCAGAGGGGGCATTTCTACACACCCGACCAGAGGGGGCATTTCTACACACCGTCCAGAGGGGGCATTTCTACACACCCGTCCAGAGGGGGCATTTCTACACAGCCGACCAGAGGGGGCATTTCTACACACCCGTCCAGAGGGGGCATTTCTACACACCCGACCAGAGGGGGCTTTTCTACACACCGTCCAGAGGGGGCATTTCTACACACCAGTCCAGAGGGGGCATTTCTACACACCAGTCCAGAGTGGGCATTTCTACACACCAGTCCAGAGGGGGCATTTCTACACACCAGTCCAGAGGGGGCATTTCTACACACCAGTCCAGAGGGGGCATTTCTACACACCGGTCCAGAGGGGGCATTTCTACACACCGGTCCAGAGGGGGCATTTCTACACACCGGTCCAGAGGGGGCATTTCTACACACCAGTCCAGAGGGGGCATTTCTACACACCAGTCCAGAGGGGGCATTTCTACACACCAGTCTAGAGGGGGCATTTCTACACACCCAACCAGGGGGGGCATTTCTACACACCAGTCCAGAGGGGGCATTTCTACACACCAGTCCAGAGGGGGCATTTCTACACACCAGTCCAGAGGGGGCATTTCTACACACCCAACCAGGGGGGGCATTTCTACACACCGTCCAGGGGGGGCATTTCTACACACCAGTCGAGAGGGGGCATTTCTACACACCCGACCAGAGGGGGCATTTCTACACACCCGTCCAGAGGGGGCATTTCTACACACCAGTCCAGAGGGGGCATTTCTACACACCGGTCCAGAGGGGGCATTTCTACACACCCAACCAGGGGGGGCATTTCTACACACCAGTCCAGAGGGGGCATTTCTACACACCAGTCCAGAGGGGGCATTTCTACACACCAGTCCAGAGGGGGCATTTCTACACACCAGTCCAGAGGGGGCATTTCTACACACCAGTCCAGAGTGGGCATTTCTACACACCAGTCCAGAGGGGGCATTTCTACACACCAGTCCAGAGTGGGCATTTCTACACACCAGTCCAGAGGGGGCATTTCTACACACCAGTCCAGAGGGGGCATTTCTACACACCAGTCCAGAGGGGGCATTTCTACACACCAGTCCAGAGGGGGCATTTCTACACACCAGTCCAGAGTGGGCATTTCTACACACCAGTCCAGAGGGGGCATTTCTACACACCAGTCCAGAGTGGGCATTTCTACACACCAGTCCAGAGGGGGCATTTCTACACACCAGTCCAGAGGGGGCATTTCTACACACCAGTCCAGAGGGGGCATTTCTACACACCGGTCCAGAGGGGGCATTTCTACACACCCAACCAGGGGGGGCATTTCTACACACCGTCCAGGGGGGGCATTTCTACACACCGGTCCAGAGGGGGCATTTCTACACACCGTCCTGAGGGGGCATTTCTACACACCAGTCCTGAGGGGGCATTTCTACACACCGGTCCAGAGGGGACATTTCTACACACCGTCCAGAGGGGGCATTTCTACACACCGTCCAGAGGGGGCATTTCTACACACCAGTCCAGAGGGTGCATTTCTACACACCGGTCCAGAGGGGACATTTCTACACACCGTCCAGAGGGGGCATTTCTACACACCGTCCAGAGGGGGCATTTCTACACACCAGTCCAGAGGGTGCATTTCTACACACCGGTCCAGAGGGGACATTTCTACACACCGTCCAGAGGGGGCATTTCTACACACCAGTCCTGAGGGGGCATTTCTACACACCGGTCCAGAGGGGACATTTCTACACACCGTCCAGAGGGGGCATTTCTACACACCGTCCAGAGGGGGCATTTCTACACACCGTCCAGAGGGGGCATTTCTACACACCGTCCAGAGGGGGCATTTCTACACACCAGTCCAGAGGGTGCATTTCTACACACCGGTCCAGAGGGGACATTTCTACACACCGTCCAGAGGGGGCATTTCTACACACCAGTCCTGAGGGGGCATTTCTACACACCGGTCCAGAGGGGACATTTCTACACACCGTCCAGAGGGGGCATTTCTACACACCAGTCCAGAGGGGGCATTTCTACACACTCCTGCTTGTTTGATCTCATTTTAAATCATTGAAGTCTCCTTGAGGCCCCGGGCCGCTGGCTGAGAACCACTGACTCACAGAAGCATCTTCATTTTTAATGGCTTCATTAGCCAAGCCCTCTCAAAAAAACAAACAAAACAAGCACTAAAAAAGAACACAAATTGTACACACACTTTATATTTAATGATATTTAATGATTTGTAGATTACATTTAATAGATATACTTTCATGAAAGCATTTGCAATCGTTGTAAAGTGTCCTTATACATGTTTTACCAGCCGGCGAGACGCCTTTCATTCTGTGAAGCAACGGGTTCCACTGACTCAGAGTTTCCAAAAGCTCCATTTGTCCTATCGCTGTTTCTGCTGTCCGCCTCGGCTAAGCGTATCGTTCCTGTGATGTGCTGTGACCTTCAGAACATTTCTAAATATGTAAAACTGCTTTTTAAAATGTTTTTACACAACAGATACACTTTCCAAAAGAAAGCGCTCTTGGAGATTTGCGATCCAGGTCAGTGCAACACAGTGTGTGTGTGTGTGTGTGTGTGTGTGTTTGTGTGTGTGGGGTTAGACTTACGCATTGGGTTGTAAAAATTCCATCATAATCTATTTATACCTGACATTTTAATTTAATGTGAATTTAATAATCACATTTTAATGATAATAAGCCATTTAATCGTCTCTGTTTTTGTTCACATTTTCATTTTTATTCACAAACATACAGGACGAGCATATAGGCTAGATTATGCATCTATTTATTTATGAAGAGAAAGTTGAACAGAGACTGTGCGTCACTTTTCAGGTTTCATCATGAATGTTTGTCTAACAAATCGCAATAAGCGTTGTGCTTTGTTACTTTTGATATGAAACAAAGTCTCAGATTTCAAATTCTGTCTATTATATCACAAAATTCAAACAATAAATACCGTTTTGGCGCTCTTTAACGTGGCTCGAGAGTTCACTCTGAGTTCAAGCGAAGGAGAGCGTGAGTAAACGCGATCAATTCCTTCATCATTAGTGTTACAGAATGAAATAATGAATGAACATCAAAAAAAAATTGTTGAAAGATACAGTCCAGCTTACCGAAGTCCGTATCATGTCTCATGTAATCGCTCAATCCGTGTTTCAACCACAGAAAGACGTCAATAAAAGAGCTTGTATTCGTAACTCAGGGCACGTTTACACCACAACGATATGCTGAAAACGGAGAAGTTTTTCCTTTGAGTTTTCTGCGTACAGGCGACACCTAAAACGACTAAAAACGCTGTATTCTGCAGCTAGGCCAGTAGATGGCGATGAAACACTGTAGACTGAACACGTAATACGCATGTGCATGACGTCATCGTCTTCAGAGATTCACGTTTTAGTCGTTTACACGGAGAGCGTTTTCAGAAACTTCCACATTGAAACCCGTTTTCATCAGTTTGTGTTTTCAAACGCAGTTTTCGTGTAAACGAACGGCCAAAACGCATAAAAAGTGTTACGTTTTTAGTTGAATATGGTGTCGTGTAGACAGACCCTAAGAAAAACCATTCCGTTGAACATTAACTTGATAGTCCGCAAGACCCACTCGCCACCAAGTGGACAAGAGTGAGAATTACACTTACAAGTTACAATACATCCCTCTCAGTGTAATCTGTCAAAATGACTGACGGCGTTCAGATTTTTACGTCACTGCTAAAAAAATGTATGTCAATTAATTATTCTGTCAATGACAGAACATTTTCGGTTAACGCAACCTCTAGTGTGTGTGTGTGTGTGTGTGTGTGTGTGTGTGTGTTAGGCTTGCTCATTCTGTTCAATGTTGGCGACAAGTCCCTTTGTGTCGATAGTGGCAGGAGGCCGAGTGAGGTCCGAGTTGAAGTAGAGGCTGTTGTCAAACGTACACTCTCCAAACACCGGCCGCGGGCTCCTCCTGATGAACAGGAATGTGGCGAGTCCGGCCACCGCGATTATGACCA